GGGGGGGGGGGGGGGGGGGGAGTGGTTCCTATGTCATGTGGTCTTCTCACGAGAAAGGGGCACGGTTGCAGCGTAGTGCTCATGGCCAGGCTGCAGAAAATCGACGAGGTGTGTCCGCAGGCACAAGCAACTACGGTACGAGACATGACATGACAGGACCACACAGCTCTGAGAACTAAGGGAGGCCTGGGGGATCCCTAAATCTCCGAAGCCCAAGGTCTGGAAAACGGCACACGGCCCAAGGCTCGACGAGGGGCTGCGCCTCACTGGGCCGCATGTGCTTCTTCACCCCGGCGGCCTGAGCTCTGCAAAACTTCCCAACCACCACAAGAAGAAGAACAGGAAGAAGAAGAAGAACAGTGACAAGAACAAGAGCAAGTACAATTCAAAATATAAGAATAATTACTAATTACTCTGGTTATAGTCATGGCAATGGTATCCCAAGAGCGCTGCTCAGACTCCAGCAATGCGGCCACACACAGCTAGCTGCCAGCTCTTGCGACAAGAAGCTTTTGCTTCGGGGCTAATGCAAATGACGTCGTTGTACTGCCACAGAACGAGTGGTCCTGCTTCCTTCAAGGAAGGGTCGTACTTCTCGTGGACGGCCAAGAAGAAGCAGTCCACATCCAGATGCAGGATCACTTTCTCCAGGCTTTGTGGCTTCTGGCTCTCGATCAGGGAAGGGATGCTCGGCTGCGCCTTCTCTAAACCACCGATGTGGATTCCAAACCCACGGACTTGCGCCGGAGTTGCGCCGGTGCTCTCGCAGAGCCTCCAGGCTTCTGCACATGCGGCCTCCACTGCAGCCGGAGCAAGACCGGGGTTCGTGGCGAACTGCGCAGAGCGCGAGAGGACGTCACAGCCCCCACTGCCGACGCCTCGACAAAGGGAAATGCGTCAAGGGGAAGAAGAGGCTTTCGCTTGAATCGAAACAAAAGCCCCAGCCTCCGCAGTGAGGGGCATCTGGCCGGGCTTTCCAGACCTTCACCGTGAGCGAGCTGCCCCTTCGCCCATGGCGTGCCAGGCGTCGCAGCGCCTCCGTCGTCAGCTCCGCGACAAAGCGGCGGAGAGCTTCGGAATCTTCGAAGCGGACGCCCCAAGCGATCTGTGCGCCCACGGACTTCCGAGGTGGCCGCGGATCCCAGGGCCGGTCGTCGATGCCTCGACAAAGTCGAAAAAGGGATTGCGCCTGCTTCTCGCCGAAGAGCTCCCGGAGCTTTGCCAAGGGAACGTTTCGCAGGTCGCCCACTGTCTGTACTCCTTCACAGAGGGCTGAATTCCTACCGAGACATTCCTGTACAAGCCGATGCAGACCCGAAAAAGGAACCGCCAAACTCATCCCATTCCACATCCCTCTCCAGATTTCTGGAGCTGCTTCTCACTCTCGGGGCCCACGCCCGGCAGCTCCCTCGCCGGAAGCACCGCCAGGCACTCGGAGCTCTCCTTTCGACTTCCAACAGAAGCCTATAGGCTCCCTCAGCGTGGATTCGGAGAGTACTTCGCTGGGGGGTAGCAAGACATACCTCCTTCGAGTCTTAAGCCCTCAGACACCAAACTTGAAGCGCTCTTCACAGCAGGAAGAACTGCAGGCTCCTCCAGAAGGAAAATACCTCGCAAGGGCCGGTTTGGGGTTTCAGCACTGTTCTTAGGGCTGGAGATACGGGGGTTTAGGAAGCAGTTCAACGGAAGATCGTTGTGCAATAAGCAACTGAAACAAATCGTGCAGCTACGGACACAGCTTTATAGGTTCAAGCAGCTTTGGTGGGGCTCTTTTCGGCCCTCGGCCCGGGCCTGCGTGCTCATCGCAAAAGCGGAGCCCGCTTTCATCGCCAGCGCGGTCCAGCGCGGCTTTTCCGCACTTCCTGCATCCCGGTCGGGGCTTTGCAAACTTTGTCGCCAGCCTGGACGGAGATGCATGCGCGTCAGAACAAGGAAACGGCTTAAAGTTCAGGGTTTAGAGTTCTCCAACCCTTGTGTGCTACAGGCCACCCGAGCCGCCTGGCAAGCAGCCAATTTTTGGCCACGCCAATCGAGGCAACGCATCCACTTCGACTCCTTGGGCCCAGAAGCCCCCAAAAAAACCCTTTTGCTTCGCTCTGCTCGGCTTCGGATTCCCACGGCTAGAAGGCGTGCAATGACACGGAAAAACTTCTGGCAGCCCAGGCTCCAGATGTCAGCGCGGATCTTCCGCGCGAGAGCCTGCCATGAACGTACGTCATCCTGCACCAGGTGCGAGACGTCTGCGAAGACCTCGTCACACGAGATGCCTGAGCGCAGTCTCGCGTGTAGGTTGGCTTAGCTTTTTCTAGGGTAGGTGTAAGCACAGCTAGAGAACCATGTTACATTTGGGCTGGTGCTTCTCCGGCGCCTTGCACGTAGGGAGTGGTGTCAAGCACACTCCTGTAGAAGAGCTCAGCAGTCTCCATGATGGAGTCGAACTCGTAGGGCATCACCACCAAGTCTGGGCACAATTGGAAGGCCTCTCCGGCCCACATCCCAGCACGAATACCTGACAGCAGTCTGTCAGAGCTCGAGACAAGCAGAACGCATCTGCAGACCCGAATCATCTGCCTTCGCCATCCCAGGCTGCCATTAGCTACCAGCCATATCAGCTGGCATTTGCGATGCGCTTGAAAGAAAAAAACCAGAAAACAAAACCAAAGCCGCCCGAGGCACCGTAAGCCCGAGCGCAGTAGTTGGCTGAGGAAATCTCGCTGCTGCTTCCAGTGCCCCACGCCACGGCCACGGGCAAACCTGACGGGGGCGGAGGGACTCTGAGACTTCCGCGTTCTGATTGGCGTTTAAATTCAGCCGAGGCCTGCAAAGGTCTGCGTCCGGCCACGGGTTGCAACACTGGCGAAGAAGCAGTCCATGTCGATATGTACAAAAACCTCACGGAACACGTAACACGGGTGTAGCTGCTGAAAGAGCCCTATCCGTATACGATCACAGAAGGATTGCCCTCCCAACAGTTCCAGCCCATGCATGCAACTAAAGTTCTCCACTCTATTTTGGCTTGGCTTTGAGGGGATCCTGGCTTCGCGGTGCCTGGAGACAGCTCCTGCAGGCACCAGTAAAGATCCCTCAATGTTCCGTTTTGGTTCAGGGCTTCCTAGCACCCCAAATCTGCACGCATCCTTATTGGTCGGTCAGGTGGCCGACTTGCCACGCACGGCAGGGCGTGGCGGAGGCGGCGGCAGGCTGTCAAGGATTTCCTGTCAACGGGTGCGAGTCAGCGGTAGAGGTTCGGAAGAAAACTGTCAGACTACGACGTGCCAATACAATAAGATACAATTTGCAAACACAGGAGTAGCAGCGTGATTCAACTTAAATACGCGAGTTCTTGTCTCGCTTCGGCTGCACAAGGATGAATGATTGTGTCTGCAAGCTGTCGATGCAGAAACCGCTGGCACTAGCAGCATTGTACAAGAACCACAATAGCCTGGAAAGAAAGAATCAAGCAACAAACAACCACACAAATAACAAAAACGGCTGAGGTCGACCACGACGACGAAGAGGAGAAGGACGATCACGACGACGCCTCTGAGGACGCCGCAGCCGCCCCACGGCCGCCGATGCACACAGAAACGACGATGCGAAGCGACCGCGACCCCCACACCATACTGCGGCTACTGCTACTGCCATGTTTTGGCTGTGGAAACTGATAACCACTTCCATCACCACTAGCACCGCCAGCACCTCCAGCACCACGAGCACCACCACTACAATCAGCACCAACACGACCGCCTACCACTACAACTACTACCACTACCACTTCTGCTACTACCACTACTGCTGCTGCTGCTGTTGCTGCAACTCCTCCTCCTCCTGCTGCTGCTGCTGCTGCCACTTGTACTTCTTCTTCTTCTTCTTCTACTACTACTTCTTCTACTACCACTACTACTACGACGACGACGGCGACGACGACTACTACTACTACTGCTACTTCTACCACCACTACTACTACTACTACTACTACCACTACTACTACTACTATCACTACTACTACTACTACTA